ATTGCAATCTATCGGTAGATTAGCCAGGACAGCATACCTCCAAATACTCCATGGTGTTGATGGATGCTGATGAGACGGGCGCGTTCCAGGGCTCTCAAGTTTTGAAGACAGGTAAGAGTGACACCCAGCCGACGGGGGGTTGGATACATTTTTGTCATTGGTTGTTGCGTCAAATCTTACCCAGATACAATAGTGCTATTTTCTGATTGGCTATTGTGTAGCTCGACGAACAACACCAGAAGAAACGCGCTTGATTCATGTCGGTTCCACAGTGAGAGCGGCGCGGCTGCGGCATATTAAATATATTACAAATAGTTTTTCAGCGTGAGAAATACAATGTGTGGCGGGAGAGCGTGACAAAAGACCGAAATGAGTGACTGTCACGCTCAATGCGTGATACTTGAGAGCCCTGGCGTTCACTGAAAATCTGGTGCACACGCACTGACGAGCATGAACTGGGTGGGAGGGTATCCGTTGATAGTGGGGGAGGGGCATGAGAGTTGTAAACATTCAAAATTTTCCTAAATCCACTCAATCTGCCAGACTTGCCGACTGCAGCTTTAAGGTCTGTGCAGATCAATTGGCGCCAGTGTTTTGTAACATCTTTCAAAGATCCATTGCCCTCCAGAGAGTCCCAAAACTTTGGAAGGAAGCCACTGTAGTGCCAGTGCCAAAAACTACACATGCTGTAACATTAAATGACCTTAGGCCAATAGCATTAACATCCCTTATAATGAAGTGCTTTGAGAAATTAGTAAAAGAAGAATTATTAGACAAAACTAAGGATTTGTTAGACCCTCTTCAGTTCGCATATAGAACAAAGCGAGGTGTCGAAGATGCAACAGTAAATCTACTAAACATGTTATTGCAGCACCTGGAGGGTATAAGACTCATGCAAAGCTCTTATTTATTGACTTCTCATCTGCTTTTAATTCTCTACAACCTCATATTTTAACAGATAAGTTAATTACTAATTTTAGACTTGATCTTAACTTGGTAGGTTGGGTCTTAGATTTTTTAACTGAACGAACTCAGAGAGTGAGAGTAAATGGTAGTCTCTCAGCCCCCCCTGATAACATCTACAGGTTCTCCTCAGGGATGTGTTTTGTCTCCCTTATTGTATATTTTATATACAAATGATTGTCTAAGTAAACATAAAAATAGGTACTTTTTAAAATTTGCAGACGACACAGTTATTGTAAGTCTTCTAGAAGAAAATGAAACGTGCCATGGTCCAGTGGTTGATGATTTTGTGAAGTGGTGTGATGATGCCTGTTTGCAGATTAATGTTTCCAAGACAAAAGACATGAGTATTGACTTTAGAATACAAACACATCCTTCCCAAGACACATTTGTTAAGAACAATAAGGTTGAATGTGTGGATAGTTTTAAATATCTCGGAACAATTATTGATAAAAAATTGAGGTTTGATTTGAACACAGAGGTATCAATGAACTGTGACTGCTTGACATCAACTAACCTGAAGAGAACATGCTCACCTGTTGTCTGCCCCGCACCGAGTGATCTTCACCGAATCTGCACCTGATCTCACTGAATACTCACCCTGCACTCTTGTTTGCTTGAATAAAGCTGTGTTTGGATTCACTTACCTCTGTCTCCGTGCCTGTATCCTGACACGTATATTATCTTATAACACCGATCTCACAATCTACTTTGAAACTCTTTCAAACATGAGATCACGAAACAAAAAGCTTATAAAAACAATACATATTTTAAAGCTTTTCAAATTCAATATTTTTTTTCCATTATTAGTATTAGTTTTATTTATTTTTACATGTTCATTTTATATTTTAGTTGTTGTTGTTCTTTGTTGTACACCCTCTGAACTGTATCACAATGCCATATATGTATTGAACCAAAAATAAACTTCACAGCAGGGATCTCCATAACAAACGAGAACAGAATCAAAAACATGAACTGGTGACCAAAAACAAAATGCAAACGAGTCACCGCTTACATTCACTTTTGTCTTTGGTCTTCTGTCACGGGTTGTGTGGTGAAGACAAACACACGATGAAGAGGAATGAAGTATAACCAGCATTAATAATAAACAAGTCCAATGTCGACTCAGATAAGCAGTGCAACCCCACGTACACACAGATGAGACCCGAGCATGAAACTCAAACAGTGTGTCTGTGCCAGATGTTTTTCAAGCACTGTGGTATTTGACTTTAGTAAAACGGCAGTAAATGCATTATAGCTGCATCTTTTGGGCCAAAATTAACGACAAAGTAATGTAATATTTGTCCTCTAAATAGGTGAGAAATGGATATGGCTGAAAATGCTACACCAAAATCAAGGGGAAGAAAAGTTCACAATCACACTAAAGAGTCACATTAACTACTATACTGTGTCACTAAAAGCAAACCCTGACTGTATATTTGTGGCAGTCGTTCTGGGAAATCTGGAGCGATGAAGACATCAGAGTCTAATCCCACTAATTTGATCCAGGTTTAGATAACTGCGTGTGCACGCGTTTCTTAAGCAGCCCTGGAGGTCGATCATAGATCAAATCGATCCACCATCAATACGCATATATTTTGTGGTGTTTTATGCGTTTGAGACATGGTGTTTGCTAAACTTACATTTCACAGGAATATTCTCCATCTGAAAATCTTAGAAAGTCGTGCAAATAGTTCCATTTTGCTGTAAACTTCACATTGAACGAGCGCTGCTGCGCGCATGCGCGCCAAATATGAGCGCAATAATTCGGACTAATATACATTTTGCTTGGAAAATTAATAGGCTATGCGATATTTTATAACACCAGAAATATCTTATAATTATAATAATTTATCTTTAGGATGTTGGATCAGTTGCAGTGAACTTATATCTCATTACACTCATATATTTTATACTTATAATAAAACAATTGAACAGAAGTAGGCCTAATTCAGGGAAGATTTTTTTATAAGAAACCAAATATAATAAAGATACAAAATATAGTTTTGGGTTTAGGACCTAAGCTACTTAAAAAAGATGACTTATACTTATTTAATTAGCATGCTGAGAATTACAGCTTTTAAGCATCTCTTTTTTTTTGGAGAAAGCAAAAATGTTTGGTTAGATTTAGTTTAAGTGCATTATGGAGAGGATAACATGAAATTAAGAGCAAAAGTATACATTTTGAAAAGATATGTGCAACTCTAAAAATCAAAGAATATTCCATAAAATAAAGGAATACATATTAGCCTATAACTAAATAACCTTCCCTCCCTTAATTCTAGTTATTTATTATTTCATTTATTTACTTTTTTAATATTTGATATTTAAATCATATTACTTTAATAACTTATTATGAATTATGTGTCATTATAAGAGTTTGATATAAATATGTGAATGTTTGATTTTTTCCATTTTTTTTAATGTAAAAGTGTCTAACTATGTACTTAATGGTTGTTGTTCTAATTGTTTTTATGTGTTGGTAGGTATTATCACAAAAGAAAAAAGTAGAAGGAAAAATAAGATTTATTGGGGGAAAATATTATGTCTTTAAAGGAACTGTCCATTTGTATAAGTGTGTTAAATGTATTTGAATTGAAAGACATAATTATATATAGTACATAAAATATATATATGCTAAAATATTGGTTGTTGGACATTAGATGTGCCTTATTTAGAATTTTAAACCTACAATTTAGTGTATTTTTATGATATAAATAACTGTAAAGGGACTATTGTAATGGGGTAAATCAAGTGTAGGTTAATATAGCAATTACTAAGCTCAGATTCATCTTACCAGTTTAAATGTATACTGTGCTTTTCTAATTATTTATTTTAAATGTTGTGTTTCATACATTTTTAAAACTATCTTATTAAATCACAAAACATTCAGCCAGTAAGAAAAGAAAACCTGTAGGATATATATGTATATATATATATATATATATATATATATATATATATATGTATATAATATAAACCCCGACATATATATGTTTGTAGGACTATATTGTCTAATTTATCATTGTAGCCTTATTTAAGTTGATTTTCTTTACTGTATATTTATTTTTGGACTTATAGTGGTTAATAAAGTCAAATAATGGTATGAGAGATTGTCAGTAATTGTGTTCTTGTCGGTCAGTGTTGAGGATCTGTGTAACAACTGAGGCTTAGCCTGTTAGTTAGACAGTTAGCCTGCCCTGGACCAGGCTAGTTTCCCAGCATAAGTTGCCAGGGTAACTGAGTTTGAACTATTTTAAGTTTGCTTTATGAAACAGAATCAACCGACAATAAGTCTGACTAACCAAAATAAGCCTGGCTTATACTCTAATCTTGTTTTATGGAACAACCCTCAGAGAACAAATGTAATCAATATTTAAATGATTTTGATACTGGAACATCACAAGACATCTCTTATATTCACAGGCCAGTGATGAAACCTCTGTAACTGTATAAGCACTTTTTTGTGGATCACTTTATTATTGTATTGCTTAACTTCTGTCTTCTGTCGTATATGAAGTGAACAGTGCTTTAGTCAGATCTGTGTAAATGATGTCCACTCACATGAGATTGACAGCGCTCTAGAAAAAGCTCTTTAACACGTGTAATCATGTTATAATGTTATAATGTTATTATGTTGTAATGTTCAGTTTTCTTTCAGTCATAATATGCTTTTTGAGAGACATATTCACTTTGTAATTATTGAACCTAAATATTAAATTAATAAAATGTGACTGCCCATATATAATGACTAATTAACTGAAAACAAACATATGTATTTCAAATTCATAAGATACGCCTCATGCATTTGAGTGTAAACCCCAATAGAGGCTTTAATGTGCTGAAGATCATCAGCAGTGTGTGTGAACCTCTTCCGCTGTTTAACACTTGTGTAGTGAAACCTGCAAACGTGTGTTTCTGTCTCCTCCCCTCGTGTGTTCAACTCTATAAAAGACAGAGTACATCTCTATTCTCCACTCTCTCTCTCTTCTGACTCAGAGAAACTCAGAGGTTCAGTTTCTGCTCTCTCAGTCATCATGAAGCTGCTAGTGTTTCTTCTGTTGCCTTGCCTCTCTCTGAGTGAGCTTTCGCCGGGGTTTGGTAAATGCGAAGAGTTCTTTTTAAATAATGCTCCTCCTCAATTCACACCAGCACTACCGGATACCAAGGAGATCTGCCAGTGTGTTTGGGACAACAACGATGAGCAAAAGTTTCTTTATGCAACTCTGTACAACACAGACTGGAAGATCCCCATCTACTCTGCATATGTGTTTAAGAGCATACCTGTTGATAGGTGTGATCCTTGGTACATCGAACCTCAGGTAATTGTTCAACTGTATATTATTATAGTATATTGGTCACACTTTATATTAGGTCGGTGTCTTTAACTACTATGTAGTTACATCAAAAAATATTTACTTGTTGATGTAGTCCTGTAAACGCTTGTGCTGTTATTGAGGATACGGTAATATTAGCACAGGTTTACTGGTTTAAGAGGTTATCAGGGTCATTATAGATGTAAACATGCAGGTATTTTATCAAATATAAGTAACTGTAAAAACTTGTATGTACACAATAAGTGCACTGTATCAAATGATTATTCAAATGTTAGAACATAGTAGTTAAAGACAGCTAAATTAAAGTGGGACCAGTATATTTATTTGTAATGACAATAATTAATGTGAATTTTGACAGTTGTTAGTTTGACAGTTTGAGTTTTTTTTTCTATGTTTCTCTCTCTCATGTCCTTTAGCTGGATGGAGATGCTGAGCCATGTATGGCACCTAGAGGTCACAAAAACATTACTAATCAGGCTGTGAATAGTAACTATAAAGGCGCTAATGAGAGTGGCTATGACAGAGGTCACCTGTACCCAGTTCAGCACACACACGGTCGTCTCTCCATGCTGGCCACCTCCACCCTGACCAACATCGCTCCACAGAACGCAAGTTTCAATCAGCATCAATGGAACAAACATGAGAAGGCTGTTGCTAAAATTCTGAAAGAGTGTACTGAGGCTTATGTGGTGACTGGTGTAGTTCCTAATACCAACATAAAACTGAATGCTAGAGTTACTGTCTCAAAGTATTACTGGAGAGCCACCTGTTGTCTGACGAAGAAAGGTGTGTACACAGGGCAGGGTTACTTTGGACCTGATGGCGAAAACAAAGTGAAGCTATTACCATCAATTGCAGACCTACAGACACAGCTGGCCAAAGATTACAAAGTGAATACTACTATAATTTTCCCAAGCCTACCCCAAAATGCAAAAGGTGGTTGTAACTAGTTTAGCCTTTAGCCTATGAGCTAATAATGGATCATTTGACATTTACATCTTTGACTGGTGTGGGTAATATCTGGACTCAGATCTTCATACTCTAGATCATGACTTCATAGTCCTGTCCTGCCTTTGGTATTTTAATGAATATCTCCAGCCATCTTTGTCCACTTCACTGTTACTGGATTAACGTCTGTGTGTAATATTGCTGGATGTATAATCATTTAATAAAGACAGTGTGCAAACGTGTCTTAATGTGTTTAAAACCTTTATTTAAGCCCACATGAACTCAACAGCCATGTGAAAAAGACGTAGTATTAAATGTGTTAAAAATATACTTGAAATTCAAGTAGTATGTTTATGATACATTTGTATTCCCAACATGCTATTGGATTAATTATAGTGCATTAAAATATATTTAATTGCATTTTAATACATTTCTAAAAAAGTATACTGGAAGTACATTGGTAATAATTATATGCTTAGTGTCATTTTTAAGAAATATGCTAAACACAAGCATACTTTTAGTGAATTTTTAGTGTATTTAAAGAAAACTTACTTATGTTGCTCTTACTTAAAGTACTTATGAGTCCTTAAGAACACAGCAAAATGATGAAGCTTTAGTCGGTTTAAAATATATGTACTTTATAAACACTGTATATAAACATACTGCAATATATCTTAAATATTTTGAAAATAAATGTACATTTACAACAATGTACCAACTTATAATGTATTATAAACATTTGTCAACTATTATTAAGCATTACAATAAGCTTAAAATTAAGTTGTTCACTTTTACTTCTTTGTACTTGTAAAAGACTATCTAAAAGGCTGTCATCCATTATGTTTGTTCTACTGAAATTCCCACAAGGATTCAACATCAGTGAAAGTTTCCAAAGATGTTTAAAAAAAGTTTTTACTTGTTTAAATTACTTTATTAACTGGTTTAAAACCTGATTGGTTATATGAGCTCACACCTCAGAGCTTCTGTTCAGCAGATGTGTGTGTGCATCATCTATGTATATTCATTCAACCTGTATATGAATGACTTATCAGAACAACTAAGAGGCGGCAAAACTGGTTGTATGATTGGTACCGCTCTAATAAATCATTTTATGTATGCCGATGATCTGGCTATTGTTTCACCTAGCAGTGTTGGTTCTCTTTCATCATCTCGTTTCGAGATCCACCTATGGGAAGGGCATCCGTACCTGACCTCTGCAGAAGCATCCAATTGCACCAAGTCTGGCTAACAGACAGAAGCGCGCAGCCAATGCCAGGTGAGGCCACACCCCCTTACCTACGGGCATATCACAGATGGGCGCGCTGCTATTCCTCAGTTGACATTCGCTTCTCGCGATCTCTGCATTGACACAGTTCGGTTGGATTAACGTTACACTGCTCACTTTCGAGTCTTCAGGAGGACATATCGCCAGATCAGCCTCCGCCAGACGTGAGTGACAGTCGTTTCTTCAGCCTATCCGCTGTGTTTTTTGCATCCGGAGCCGCCCGCGCTCTCGCTGTCCTTCACCTGCTCCTCCTTTACATGGCTGCCCGCCACGGATTTTTCCGAGTTCTTCACCGCTGGCCCACCCATGGCTATGTGACCGTCTAAACAGCCGCTTCCCCCGGGGAACAGCCTATCACGACGAGCCTGCCCGGCCGCGTGTGGTGCTCTCATCGCCGCTATAAGGACCCTCTCGTTCTGCGCGGTCTGCTTGGGCTTAACACGCTCAAGCTTTGGAGAACCCGGGGAATTGCGGTCATTGTAATTGCTGCCCATGTAGCTTTTACTAAGCCGGCTTTTAGTTGCACGACACAGCGCGCCGTGCTCGGCCTTTCTGACTCGGAGGAGAGACACGGTGATGATGACGCGCTACCGGGGGACTCCCGGAGCGCAACCTCTCTAAAATATTTGAGCTGACATCAGCCCAATCCGCATTCCCTGAAGAGGACATCTTCGCGGGAAAACCTCACTCTCGTTGACGAACCGGTCGGTTCCGGCGACGGGGATGACGCGGTCCTTTTAGCGTTCCCTAGGCTTGCGTTCACGCGGCTTTGCCTCCGTCCATCCTCCTGGAAGTTTGTGAGCGAGCGGCCGTTCGTCTCAACATTGTGTGGCCAGCTCCACAGAGCGCCACCGACCAGGATAGGAATATGTACGACGGGTAAACGCTGGGACCACCGCCCAGTCTGAACGGCTGGAGCGTCCCGCTAGACTGTTTACACGGTCTCACGGGCCTTGATTTGTTACGATTACGTGTTGAGGTTTTCAATTTATGCCTTCCTAGGAAGGCGGTCCCGAACGCAAGCGGCCTGCCTGTTGTTCGACCATTGGGAGTAACGTTAACTAACAGGGTCTCCCACCTACGGTCGGTTAATCCCCTCTCGTGGCTGCCCAGACGTATGTTAGTGGACGTTGTGTGTGTCCCCCTCCCCCCCCCCCACAACAACAAGTTACGGGGGAGGGGGCTGTCGTGAGGAAAAGTGCATAGCAGTGTTACCACACCGCACGCACTTGGTTCCCCTCACCCAGTTATTAAAGGCTTCGGCCCCAGTGTTTCCCAACACAAAACACACACATTACTAAACAACACATTTAATAAACGAATCAAATGAATTCGTGCAGATTTATATATCTGCCAGCGGCAACATAGAGAGCAAATCTCTCTGATCCCATGCATGTCGCCCTGAGTCCGTCCACAAGAGGTCGCCATTGCCTCATAAATCAACCAACTGGGCTCACACAGCTCAGTTGCGGCTGTCCAGCTGATGTGTTTTTAGTGGACGTTGTGTGTGTAAGGCCCCTGTGTTCCCCAACACAAAACACACACATAACTAAATAACACTTAATAAAAAAAAATAAAAAAAAACGCATTAAATAAATCCGTTACAGAGAGATTATCTCTCTCCGCGGATATTATTTTTCTGCCTGCACTTGAGACTGCCCAGTTCATGTGTTCAGGAGATATGTGTTTTTCCCAATTTTGGGGGCACCTTGTGAGGGAAAGTTCAGCACAGTGGACACCACACTATGTTTCCCTCACTGTCAATAAAGGCTTCGGCCCCAGTGTTTGCCCAACACAAAACACACAAAGCTACGAATCAAATGAATTCGTTTTGGAGAGAAGACCTCTCTCCGCAAAGAAAACTTCTCACTGCAGAGAGAGGAAATCCCTCCAAACCCCTGCATGTCGCCTCTAGTGTTCCCACTAGATGGCGCCTTTGCATCACAAATGAACCAGCTGGGCCCATACAGCTCCGCTCCGGCCCGAGCGGGGGCGCTCGCGAGTCACAAAGCGGCTTGGCAAGCCGTTTCAGCGCCCGAGTGGGTTTTTGCGTACTGTAACCCAGGGTTACAAGCTGCAGTTTGCAATAAAACCTCCGCATTTCAACGGCGTTCTCTCTTCTCACACAGAAGAAAACGCCTCACACATTCTGAAAGAGGAAATTTCCTCCCTCCTAACAAGGGGGCGATTCAGATGGTGCCACCCAATCTGATAAACCATGGGTTTTATTCCTGGTATTTTCATGTTCCAAAAGGCGTGGCGCCCCCCCGCCCTATATTGGACCTTCGAGTGTTGAACAAACATTTGAGGAAATTCAATTTCAGAATGTGACACAAGCCTCTCTCGCCTGTGCCATAAAGCAGAACGACTGGTTCACATCAGTCGATCTGAAAGATGCTTTCTTTCACATAAGCATCTACCCTCCACACAGGAAATATCTTCGTTTCGCCTACCAAGGCGTTTGTTACGAATTCACAGTTCTTCCGTTCGGGCGCAATTTGAGTCCCCGAACTTTCTGTCTGTGTGCGGAGGTGGGCGTGGCGCCCCTGAGACTATCAGGGCTGAGAATTCTGACTTACTGGCTCATCATAGCCAAATCAAAGGAGAAGGTGTCGCTGGACACCGGCCGGGTGCTCGAGCACATCACATCCCTCGGGTTCAAGGTGAATGCGAGCGACAACAATCTGACTCCCAGTCAGAATGTCATTTTCCTGGGCTTGGAATTGAACTCAGTCTCCATGCGAGCGCGTCTCTCTCAAGAGCGCGTTCGCTCGCTGATGGACTGTCTGTCTCAGTTCAGTGAAGGGGCGAGAGTACAATATCGCACATGCCTCAGGCTGCAGGATCTCATGGCTTCATCTATCCAAGTTGTGCCATTGGTCTCCTGAGAATGAGAACGTTCACGAAATGGGTTTTGTACACTACATTTCAGCCCGATTTGCGATCTCTGCCGCTCGGTAACGATGACGCGCGCCTGCTCGGCGGCCTTGCGCCATTGGGAGAGCGAGAACTTTTACGCACGGGAAACCCCCCCCCCTCGGGACGGTACGATGCGAAAAGTTTCGACGACAGATGCGTCCTTAACAGGCTGGGGAACCACCCAGGAAGGCAGAACGGTGAACGGTCTGTGGCTGAGCAGACTACGTTCAGCGCACATTAACTATTTAGAGCTTTTACTATTTGGAAAGCTCTGAATCATTTTCTGCCTTGCCTGCAGGGACATCCTGTTCTAGTACGGTGCGATAATACCACGGTAGTGGCTTATATCAACCGTCAGGGTGGCATGCGCTCGTCGAAACTCCACGCTCTAGCTTACAGGCTTTTGGTGTGGAGCAGACAGGTTTTTCTGTCATTACGCGCGACTCATGTCCCGGGCATTCGGAACAGAGGCGCGGATCTGCTATCGAGGGGAAACCCAATCCACGGGGATTGGCGTCTTCACCCGCAGATAGTGGAGAGGTTATGGATGAGATTGGACAGGCAGCCGTAGATCTTTTCGCCTCGCACGAAAATCACCATTGTCCTATGTTCTTCTCGCTAAAGGACATGGACGCGCCCCTCGGGGCAGACGCACTGGCCCACCCATGGCCCAAAGTGCTGTTGTATGCTTTTCCTCCCCTGTGCCTGATAATTTTCACACTGGCCAGGGTGAGAGAGCACGGCCTGTCTTTCATTCTGATAGCACCCAGGTGGCCCAAAGCCCCATGGCTGGCAGAGATAATCCCTCTGTTATACGCCGAGCCATGGCGCCTCCCCCCTCGCACGGACATACTGTCCCAAGCCAACGGGGAGATTTACCACCCCCACCCGGACAGGGTGGCTCTCTGGGCCTGGCCCGTGAGAGGACGAACCAAAATGCACTGGGGCTCCCGCCGCGTGTAATCGCCACTACTCAGAAGGCTAGGGCCGTTTCCACGCGATCCCTATATGGCTGTAAGTGGCAAGTGTTCGAAGGGTGGTATGATGGGCGTGGTTTCACATCTTATCAGTGCTCGGTGCCTGATATTTTGTGTTTCCTGCAAGACCTCATGGAAAGAGGCAGGTCCTTTTCCACTATTAAGGTCTACCTGGCTGCGATTTCAGCCTGTCATGTGGGTTTTGGGGCTCCACCGTCAGGCAGCACCCTCTAACCCGCAGATTTATGGAGGGTGCACGCCGCTCTTTGCTGGTCATCAGGAGATCTGTTGAATCTGTCCCAGAGTGGGACCTCTCCATGGTGCTGGAAGCGCGGTCTCTGTATCCTTTTGAGCCTCTGGGGAGTATTTCCCTTAAGCTGCTGTCCCTCAAGACAGCTTTTGCTCTCGGCCTTGGCATCTGCTAAACGGGTCAGTGAGCTACATGCACTCTCGGTTCACCCCTCGTGCGCCAAATTCTCCCTAAGTGGAGATAAGGTTTTCCTTAAGCCTAACCCGGCCTTCATGCCGAAATGCTTCCCTGCGTTCACGTCGGAGGTTTTGGAGCTATCCGCTTTTCACCCTCCACCCTTTGCCTCCCCGGAGGATCAGGGGCTGAATGCTCTGTGTCCCGTCCGTGCTCTGCAAGCATAATGACCAGGACCAGTGCTTTCCGCAAGAGCGACCAGCTCTTTGTTTCAAGGGCTCCCCTGCACAAGGGGAGTCCCATTTCAAAGCAATGCCTCTCACATTGGCTTGTGGACGCTATACTATGGCTTAGGAAGCAAAGGGAGTGCAGCCCTAAGGGGCATCAGAGCTCATTCCACAAGGGGCTTAGCCGCCTCTTGGGCTTTGTTCAGGGGAGTGCCACTGCAGGACATCTGCTCCGCGGCCAGCTGGGCCTCTCCTCATACCTTTGAGCATTACTACCGGTTGGATGTCACCAGAACTTCGGTGGCACACTTGGTCCTAAGGGTAGGGTCCTCTTAGCCCTTTCCCACAGCCCCGTTTGGTTAACCAACGAGGAGTGAATGGGCCGGCTGGCCATGTTCATTCCTGTCACCAAGCATTCGCATTCCTTCTTGGGTTTAGCTATGTGCATTGGTGGTGCGGGGGCCATTATCATGTATGTGTCTCATGCATGTTTCATGCCCTGCTTGTCCACAGCAGTTAGCGTGGTGGAAAACTTGCAGGGTCATGTTTGTGGGACGTGTCAGGCACCGCCTCTCTGAGGTGACCGTCCTTCTCTGGCCTTCAGAACCTCACTGTGAGTGTATTGGGCAATCGGGGAGCTGTCCATGTCTCTCCCATAGGTGGATCTCGAAACGAGATGATGAAAGAGAACAATAGGTTACTGTCGTAACCCCGGTTCTCTGAAACATCGAGTGGAGAGATCCACCAGCTTTGCCCCGCTTGCCGCACGAGAAGCGAATATACTTACTGAGGAATAGCAGCGCGCCCATCTGTGATATGCCCGTAGGTAAGGGGGTGTGGCCTCACCTGGCATTGGCTGCGCGCTTCTGTCTGTTAGCCAGACTTGGTGCAATTGGATGCTTCTGCAGAGGTCAGGTACGGATGCCCTTCCCATAGGTGGATCTCTCCACTCGATGTTTCAGAGAACCGGGGTTACGACAGTAACCTATTGTTTTCAACAGTTGCTAAATATATGTTCTGAGTATGGGCTCAAATATGATGTGCAGTATAATGCTAAGAAGAGTGTTGTCATGATATGCAGAGCAAAAGGGGATAAAGACCTCAACTTTCCAGTGTTTTATCTGTTAGGTAAAGTGCTAAGTACTTGTAATAAAACAAAATACCTGGGGCACTTCCTCACAGATCAATTGTCTGATGATGATGACATATATAGGCAGTGTCGTATGCTTTATGCTCAAGCTAATATGTTAGCAAGAAAATTTTATATGTGTTCAGACCATGTTAAGATAAGGCTCTTTAAAGCCTATTGTACTCCACTCTACACTGCCCCATTGTGGGCCAAGTTCAAAAAGACAACCATACATAAGCTTCAGGTGGCCTATAATGACTGTATGCGGATATTGCTTAAGAAACCTAGGTGGTGCAGTGCAAGCGACTTGTTTTGTAAGGCAAGAGTCAACACTCTCCATGCGTTGTTGAGAAATCTGATGTACAAATTTATTGGTCGACTGGATGGCTCTCAGAATGGCATTATTAAGATACTGACAAATCCTAGTAAAAGTGTTGTGCGATACCAGTCACCTCTGTGGAATCACTGGTATAATTGTCTTTTATAATGTTTTGTTTTATGTTTTTATGTTTTGAGGTGTTGGGTGTCTGTAATGTTGTGTGGTTTTTCTAATGGACCTTGAGTCTGACAATAAAGTTGAATTGAATTATGTGTATGTTGCTTGAACGTGATTAGATTTAGAAGTATACATTTTAACTGTTAAATTAGAGCGATCACCATGTCTCTTTAAAGGACACCACGCGATTCATATGAACATGTTTTTTCACCCAGCTGCGTCAAGTTTGCATGACGTGTGACTTTTGGAAACTCATATTGTGATTCTAGGTAAGATTTGTATTAGATTAACGCTACTTGTCTGTGCCAGGTGTATCTTCGACAGTGTAACAGCACGTCTTTCAGTTCAGCTACATTCAATTTGACCAATCAGAGGCAAGCTTTTCAAGTCTCAGAAGTTACTGGTCAGTTTTAGTTGCTGTTAGCATAAACATAGCGGTTTAGTTTTTTCCTGTGGATATGTCTGAACACTGATTCTCATCAGAGCTCTAAACCCCTTCAGATCAGGTCAGCTCTGTAAGACACAGGTGTAGGTCAGTGATAAGGCGACGCAGGAGAGAGAGTTTGATCAGGTTTATTAATGAAGAGTTTATGCGGCTTGAGCCAGAGTTTATGCGCCCCGCCCACACCCTTGATCTTCTCCTCGGCGCGCCGGCTGAAGAACTTGGCCTTCACGATCACCGGCTGCTTCGGCAGCTTGCCTTTGCCCAGCACCTTGAAGTAGCCCTGAAACACACAGCGGATCATTGAGAATCACACACACACACACACACACACACACGCACACACACACACACACACACACACACACACACACACACACACACAAACACTCCTGAAACACACAGCGGATCATTGAGAATCACACACACACACACACACACACACACACACACACACACACACACACACACACACACACACACACACTCCTGAAACACACAGCGGATCATTGAGAATCACACACAACTCATGACCATCTGTTCAAGCTCCCCAGGAACACACTCCCAGGGGTGATAGTAGAAAAAAATCCTGAGCCCGAACTTTTTTCCCTGGGAGGTAAGCGAAGCCAAGATTTACGTCCTGCCCTGATCAACATAATTGTAAAGCAGGATCCAGGGGTGTGCTCCCCTGGGAGAACATTTTGATAAATAGTCCCTTAAATGATTTTCATATTAAAATTATTTTTTCTAAATATTTTTACAAATATTTTTAATTAGGGATGGACCGATACCACTTTTTGCAGAACAAGTCCGATACTTTCATTTTTGGTTCTCGCGAATACCGATACCGTAACCAATCCCTGCATTTTCACTACATTTGTAATTTTTAAATGTATTAGTAGATAAACCAAAATAATATAAATCATATCAGTTGGCTTAAAGGGTCACTCCACCCATTTCAACATTAATCTTTATTGAAAGTGGGTTATATATGTAGTCGAAATGTAAAAGAAATTTTGAATTTGGTGCCCTCTTGACCGAGAAAAGACAGAAAATAACTTTGGGGCGCATTTGTATGTAAGACAACAACTCCCACAATGCAGCTCCGCAAGCCACAGCTCCGCAAGCCACTCCCACTAATCCAGAACAGCAGCACAAACATCACAAATCACTCTTCCGTCTACAAGAAGGCTAGCTGCCAAATGAGTTTGAAATTCATTTCACAAAAAATGTCTAGTTAGTTGGCTGTGGCGAGCAGGACGAGGGCGAGGGACGTGAGAGGACGGCGCGAGTGATAATGAATGACACCTGTGAGATGCAGCGGTCTCATATCTCTCACGGAGGAGCGGAAGCATAAAAGGAACAGGCCTGATTTTATGTTTTGTTTCTGTTGTGTGTGGCCAGCTGGCTTATACTTTTGTTTTGTATTTGTTTATTTTACTATTAAAACGTTTAAATGATCGCCGGTTCCAGCCTCCTTCTTCCCACAACAACGAACCCCGTTACCCCGTTACAAACTCATTAGTGAATTACTCGTTTGTATTTCTTTCTATATGGTGAAGTATTGCATGATACCTGCATGTTCAGTCAGGCGAAACTAGGATGGTTCACATAACAACACAAACGTCCGTGTGCTCGTCTGATTCAGAGATTTCGTCCAGGAGAAATTGCGATCGTTGAAATTCTCTGCAGCAGACGGACTCTATCTGTGTCCGTAGCGCACAGCGAGAGCACAGGCACCAGCAGTCCGCCCAGCTCGAGCCAGTCCGGGCTCCTCGTCCGCTCCAGTCCGCCCAGCTCGAGCCAGTCCGGGCTCCTCGTCCGCTCCAGTCCGCCCAGCTCGAGCCAGTCCGGGCTCCTCGTGCGCTCCAGTCCGCCCAGCTCGAGCCAGTCCGGGCTCCTCGTCCGCTCCAGTCCGCCCAGCTCGAGCCAGTCCGGGCTCCTCGTCCGCTCCAGTCCGCCCAGCTAGAGCCAGTCCGGGCTCCTCGTCCGCTCCTCGTCCGCCCAGCTCAAGCCAGTCCGGGCTCCTCGTCCGCTCCAGTCCGCCCAGCTCAAGCCAGTCCGGGCTCCTCGTCCGCTCCAGTCCGCCCAGCTCAAGCCAGTCCGGGCTCCTCGTCCGCTCCAGTCCGCCCAGCTAGAGCCAGTCCGGGCTCCTCGTCCGCTCCTCGTCCGCCCAGCTCAAGCCAGTCCGGGCTCCTCGTCCGCTCCAGTCCGCCCAGCTCGACCCAGTCCGGGCTCCTCGTCCGCTCCTCGTCCGCCCAGCTCAAGCCAGCCCGGGCTCCTCGTCCGCTCCAGTCCGCCCAGCTCAAGCCAGTCCGGGCTCCTCGTCCGCTCCAGTCCGCCCAGCTCGAGCCAGCCCGGGCTCCTCGTCCGCTCCAGTCCGCCCAGCTCGAGCCAGTCCGGGCTCCTCGTCCGCTCCAGTCCGCCCAGCTCGAGCCAGTCCGGGCTCCTCGTCCGCTTCAGTCCGCCCAGCTCGAGCCAGCCCGGGCTCCTCATCCGCTCCAGTCCGCCCAGCT